GAGCGGTTTGAGCCTCCCCCGAAACCTGAGGAGCGGTCTGATCTTCCCGAGCCACCGAACCCAGAACTGCGGCCGAACCCAGAGGATCCACCACCCGAACGACCAAACCCGCCGGAGCGTCCGCCGCCAAAGCCTGAGTCACGGCGGTCTCTCATGCCTCCAAAGGAGCTTGGCCGGAAACTCATTTCGTCAAACATGTCCGAGCTTCCACGTTCAGCAGCGATTCTTGGAAGCTGGATCAGATTATCGACATTGCAATTCAGTCCATGCGTGATATTGCGAAAAAAGGAAATCGCCCCGGTGGCAGAATTAAGGTGAAAACCTCATGAAAAGAGAAGGGTAAGGATCGAAATATAACCTCGGTAAACCGGCTTCCAACTTCTCTCTCGATCATCTTTACAGTTCTTGCTTGTTCTTGTGTGTATATGAGAATAGCATTTCCTTTCTTTCCAGCACGACCAGTACGTCCCGTACGATGAACAAACGTCTCGGTTGTATTAGGAAGCTCGTAATGAATTACCTGCTCCAATGCAAAAGGGCCGGTTAACAAAAAAAACACGAAACCAGATCACAAACCAGATATCTATGACGTAAAATACGTAGTTCACAAACCAGATCGACACTAGGTATATCGAGTCCACGGGCAGCAACATCGGTGGCAACAAGAATATTGAAATGCCCGTCTCTGAAACCAGCGAGTGTTCTTTCCCTCTGGCTCTGAGATATATCGCCGTGCAAAGCTTCACACTTGAAGCTCCTTCCCATCGCATATGCGAGGCGATCAGCATCCCGTTTCGTTTGGGTGAAAACTATGCACTTTCCTCCTTTCGCATGCTCCTGCAAACATCGGCCATAGGATGTTAGAAAATGTAAAAACTAATCGAAAGGCCGTGAAAGCCAGATGCAACAAAAAAGAGTATACCGTTATGAGAGGGCCAATTATGGATGCTTTTCCATACATCTCTGTTACGATAGAGAACAACGTGATTCCATCTGCTAGCTTTTGATCAGAATCTCCAACCTAAACCGTGCAAGAACACATCAACAATCAGATACGGACAAGAACAGTGTGTACTGATACACATTGTCACAAACAAGATTTCGTAGAACTAATGATTGGTCTTGGCAAATGAATTAGAACAAGCTCTCAGATAGAAACAGAGCAGGGTGAGAGAGATTACTCACAAGATCAATGGTCAAAAAATCTTTAAGGTACTTCTGGGTTAGGCCTCTGATCCAATTCGGCATGGTTGCAGAGAACATCATTGTCTGGCGTTTCACCGGCAACTTTTCCAATATCGTCTCGACATCCTCTGCAAAACCCACTTGAAGCATCTGATCGGCTTCATCCAAAACCACAAACTGGACCTCGGAGAGAATCAGGGCTCCTCTCTTCAACAAATCAATAACACGGCCTGGGGTTCCGACCACCACATCAACACCATAGCCAAGCTGCTGCATTTGACGACCGATCGGCGTTCCTCCGTATATACATATTGTATCCAAGCTAGGAGCAGACTCGTGGAATTCCTTCTCAACCTGGCGAGCAAGCTCCCTTGTCGGAGCCAAAACCAAACAAAGAGGATTCCTCCCACGTCTGTGACATCAAAGGCAACAATAAAGAAACCGAAATCGTTGAACAGATACTTAACAACATGATGATTCTAGCGAGAAATGTAATTATCTAAACCTTAATTGATCCTAAACTATGTAAAAGTTACAAACCCATGTTTTGCGTTGAATTTGATGATCTTATCCAAGATGGGTATCCCAAAGGCAAGTGTCTTTCCTGTTCCGGTCCTAGCGCGACCAATCATGTCCCGCCCTTGCATCGCCGGCTCTAGTACAGCTTTCTGTTCAAGTACAAGCATCAAAATCAACATCAACAGAACATTTCCCAGCGATTCCATACAAGAGAGTACAAATTAATTGATAATATACAAAAATACGACAAATTCCATATACAGTATCAAAGATTAGAAACAAGGAAACAGTACTTGGATAGGAAAGAGCTTAGTGATGCCTCTCCCACTCAGAGCCTTGATAATCTCCGGCGAAATTTCGAGCTTAGATATCTCAAGCCCTTCATCACCGCACTGGTTGTCGGAACTCTCATATGCAGCGGCGAAACCCTGAGACGCGGAAACAACCGTCGACGCCCTAAATTCCAACGGCCCAGATTTCGCGTGCAAGCCCCTCGCGCTAACACCAAAAGGGTTCACCGCCGACGAGAGACCGAACAGAGGCTTGACACCACCGGAGCCAGTAGGCCCATTACCGACCGGATCAAGCTCCGCCGAGGTTGCGGCGGCGGGGTGTTGGTGGAGAACCGCATCGACAGAGGTCAACGCGGCGGTGAGAGTCCGCCGCGAAGCGAGAGAAGATCTCCGAAGTACCGCGGTGATCATTTCCGACAATCTGGTTCTACGGCTCCTGGGAAAGACGAAGGAAATGCAAAACCCCAAGGAAAAAAATTAGGGTTTTAGACGCAAACAGGGTTTTTAACCAGAGAGGGGCGGTTGTTGTAAAAGGGCAAATGCGGGCATCAAAGCACAGAGATATTCTGTGCGGGTATGATCCCCTACGACGAGTGTACCGTACAGTTTTATTAGCACGTGCATGAAGAGAGAATCAACAGTTAGAAGTTGGCAGAACTTTTTTTGTTATATGAATAGGTTGATGTAGAAACTAGTCTACATGTAAAAGCTGAAAAATTCAAGAGTTTGTACAAATTCATTTAGGTTTTATTTTTGGTCGCTACAAAAAGAAGAAAATTTTCTCCGTTCGTACAGAGAAAAGGAAAAGCAGAGAGACAATGCATGAGAAGCTGAGCCGCTAGGAAAAATCCATGGATTCTTCCGAGGTTTCTCTCTGGGAATCCGGGAACTGATGTGTTTGGTAATTGGATTCACTATTTTGTTCACTTTAGTCTGCTTCCGGAACTCGGCCTCTTGGTGATTGATTCAAGCAAACGGAACATCCAACGATCTAGCATTCCTGTCGTAAGATGGCACGGAACAAACAAGAAACGAAGCTATAGAGAATGAATCTGACAACCCTTGATATCCGATACGTGATTACGGGTTTTCGATAAGTTGGGGTAAGATTCGACAGAATCCATCCACAGATCAGAATGGCATTCTTCTCGTTAATCTTTACGCAGATCATGAAGATTGCAAAGGGAGAGGAGAGAAGATATGAACCTGTCAAGGCAAATGTACCGCCCAATACAGCGCAAAGCCGGGTGAGGAAGTGGAGAAAACTACGGCGTTCTTCCTTGATCGCCACAGTGATAGGCGACAGGTCATATAAGAAGTAAACACCTGAAAAGAGGAGAGAAGTCAATCAAGATCACAGACAGAAACAATAACACGAATGGATTAAGTGACCGACCTGGCCATGTCCGGTCAAACTCGTTCATTGGCAAGTAATATTCCGTCACAGAGAATTGATTAGTGGATAGAACTTCTTTCGAGAGGTATCCATACTCCGTCGGTACAATCTGTGCCACAGCAGAGAAGAAATCAATGTCCTAAACATGTGATCCGAAAGGGTAACAGACGAAAACATGATACTAGAAACACAGATGATGTCCTAGTATTTCAGAACGCAAACTAGAAAGTGATTTAGAAGTCTAAACATACAACGAGAGAGGAAACACGGAAGGTAAAATATATAATGAGGATGTATTCATTATGAGAACAGAGAAAGCGAAACTCGGATAGACACCTTTATGTAATATTTGAACGTTCCACTTGTGTCGTGAAGCATCCGCACTGTCCCATCAAGTGGGTTGTGAATTCCAGGATACTTCGGCCCAAATGATAGATCGTGAATTGTATGACTCACGTTCACATTCTTTGATCCTCCAAAAATCTGTTCAAGGTTTGTTAAGAGATTAAGCACTGTTGTTACATGATGAAAAAATAATAGATTGTGAGAACAAATGGTAGATGTCGGAAAATGAAATGTGAAGAATAAAAATGAAAAAGTTCTGCTTTTTGAGGGTATGAATTTTTTATGGTATAGTACGTATGACAAAATACAGGCCGGAAAAGTACAGACGGAAAACCCCCACAAGTAGCTTCCCTATCGACTCAGATTAAGCTGTGCTTGAGTTTTGAGATGATCTATATGGCTAAAGTTCTAGCCTTTTAATCTCGTCGACGAGTAAATAAACTCTAATGATTATGTGAAGATCATCCGGTGATTCATCACCTTAACCCACGAGCTGTAATTTCACAATTATACGGTGGTGAAAAGGTTGCAAATATAAGAAGATAAAAAAAAAACGATACCTACCATCTGAGCGACGTAAATGTTCAACCCATGCACTGATATGTGGAAGTTTCCAGCAACTCTTTGTACATCTAGAACACCATAGACCTGTAAAAGCATTCACTCAAAGGATAGAGCCTCCGTTTCCGTTGAAAGGTGTTTGACCGGACATCTAAAAGAAAAGCAAAGATTAGTACCCGGCATCCTTCTCCATCTTCCAATGCTTGCTTCACCTTTTTAATCATCTTCTCAGAAGCTTGATCAAATCCAAAAAAACTGAATGTTTCGGTATGATCCTTATGTTCTTCTTTGCCATCTTCAGTAAGCACACAAGGTAGAGAGTTAAACCACCGACATTAAGGTCTTTCCTCTTAAAAGGGCAAACACAGAATTAGCAGCTATTGTGACAACTATCACTAGAGACATCTTTTCACGATCAACCTGAACAGAAGACTAAATAACTAAAAAAAATCATTACCTCTACTGTTATGCCCAGAAGAAATAACATTGCCCTATGATTTGTTGTAATGTGTCCACTACTGTTTATACAAATTTCAACATGCAAATAGAACCAACATGCAGTGTGAATTTCTGTTCTTTGAAAATGTTCATGCCAAAGATAATGAAACAACATAACTACAGAAAGGTATAGAAACAGGGGAAGCTTTATGAAGCCAAGTGTATTACCATGCTTGTGAGAAGAGTGATCATGTTCCTTTTCAACAAGATCGGATATATACTCTGTGCCAATGATATGACCATGAGCATTCAGACGGAGCTGCAAAAGATCATAATTGGTCAGCAAAGGACACTGTGATGATTGGAATCCATCATAACTTAAGCCACGAACGAGAAAGAATGGGATGCAGGGATGCCAAGAGAAAATATCTAGACAGCTCCTTTGTCGAATATTTTACACCAAAATGTTCAACAATATAAAAGTACCATATTCCTAATAGCTTGCCAGCGCACTTAATGCTGCTTAGATTTTTCATGTGCAGTATACACTACATACAATTTCGGTAACATCTTAACGTTATCCGGGTTGAAGATGACAAATAATATGAAAAAGCTGCAGATTTAGAGAACATCTTAACGCACTGGAGAAGGGAGAAACAGAGAATGATTTGACAATATCTTACTTTCCAAATGTTTGTGTCAAGATCCACTTCATGCTTGCCTGACATGTCGATAGCATCTACACTCAACACTACAAAACAAAGATGGAAGAAACGATGAAGCCTATCGGGAGGTACAGAAAAGAGAACTTGAAAATAATCATACGGAACTTGACACTTACCATCGCAAGGCAAAGAAGGAAATGTCATATTTATATGGATTGGAAGAGTTTCTCCACGCTTTACGTCCACTGACAACTAGATTTCGAAACCATTTTGATTAGATTGGATATGTAAATCCAAATGAAGAGAAAGCTTTATGAACTATTTCAAGTTGAAACTTGAAAGTGACGCCAATGACTAAATTATCAATGAACTTTAACAGATAGATTTTCACAGGTACCAAAATCTATAGGAAGAGAGCCTTTAATCCTCTTTCTTTTTTTTTACAACCTAGTCCAAGAAGATTATGATCCCTAGAAAGATGAATATATATCGTCCACACCAACCAACCAACTCAGTGAAATCATTGACTCCCACTAATCGACCAAAGAGTGTTTCGGCAATGAATTTTGTAAGAGACATCAGGTGCAGAAATGCTACCACACATCATGCAGAACATGTCAATTCATGAGACATACAGAAGAGACAAACACAAGAACAAATACATTCATTACAACATCTCTCGTATTCTTACCAGTCAGAAACGACAAATCCAGAGTTATAAACAGATTTCATTCGAACTGAATACATTACCTTATGAACTGTAATTGTGTTGAGATAGTAACTGAGCTCATGCAGGAACAAAGTGGCCATTATAACGAGGCCGATAATGGACACTACAGAGACAATAAATTTCATTAGTTGAAATGGCAGTTACACATCAAGATTTCAAAGGACGGATTCACTTCAAGCAAATAGATAAATCCATTACCGATGGCACCAGACTGCGTCTTCTGGAGCAAGTGATCCTCTGCCCGAGGAAACGCATCGAGACTCCTCAGAGCTTGCTTCACACCCATCTTCCTAACTTCTTCGATATCATAGACTTTTTAAACTATTGATTTGTATTCCGGAAATCCATCAAAGCATAAAACCCAACATCAGATATACAATATCATAACTCCAGATTTCACATTCACGAGAAAGATAGCCAAATTCATGCAATCCCCGACTAAAATTCAGCACAAAAGAGGCCCATTCAACTCGATTTTCGTTCACTGTCAGACCCAGTTCCGCTATCTTCCTTCAAGCCCTTCCCGCTCCGGACGAACAGATCGCCACTATAAGCAGTTTATTCTAAGAACCTCGCTAAAATGTTATACCTAAACAAACAAGCAGATTCAGCGAGAGAAATAAGAGAATTTTTTTCACAGTATAATCCGAAACCAGCTATCTTCCATCTAAAATCGGATTTCCAGCATGATCCCCACCAGCCCTAGACGGGAAAATGCTTGATTTTTTTTAATGGAAGAATGAAATTCTACGTCGGACGCTCAGACAGATCACGACAATGGAGATCGAAATGATAATTCGAAAAGAGAGGAAATCATACTTGAAACTGAGGCTGATAACAGGTTGAAGCGTGGCCGAGAGACAAGAGGCGAGAAAGATCTGAATGACAGGTTTCCGGGAAGACAACAAAGCTTGAATTCTATTCTCTGTTTGAAAACTTCGACCGGCGTCCGTTTCCGGTCCTCAAATATTTATAAATTGCACCCCAAAAATTCTAAACATTTCAATTGAGCACCCATAATATTTTTTAATTCTTATAAAACCTTCACATTATTGCAATTAGTTCTTCCAAATTGGCAGAGTGCCTCCCATTTTACGACATTTTATCCTCACGGGTCTTTTTTGTTTGTGATTAAACAAGTCAGAAGCTTACAAACTTCATTGTTTGGGAACCTTCCATGTAAAAAATGCCATGCAATCATGCACTTTAAACTTGTGGCGAGTTGCAATAGATAACACATCAAAACATGCCTTTTAATTTATCAAAACCATAACAAAAAAACTTATATATATACACACACAAAAAGAGTATGGTAATATTTACGTAATCCTTTCAAAGTTTATTTATTTTCATGACAAAAATCATTCTTCAGATTCCATATTCAAATAACTATTGGAGAGAAATGATATAATTAATTACAATAAAGTTACACTTTAATAAAATAGATATAGTTGGATCGAAAGTCTAGTGAACCAATATAAATACAGGAAAAAAAAACATTCTCTATATATATTTTTTATAACATTAAATAGCACTTGCAGAAATTTAAACTTGGTGGTTAGATGGGTGTAAGGATCTCTATAAATTGCGTTGATGGAACATATGATGAACAAGGTTGTGATCCTCTTGCCAAGACTTTCATGTTGTTATTAAGAGATAGAGACGCACACATGTGAATCAATATAGCTAGAATTAGGGGTCGACATTTCGAAAAATGGTTCGGGACAGGAATATAAGGGTTTAGCTTTACAAAAATAGGTATCAATCGGTTTTAATATTATGTTCGGTTCGGTTCGATTTCAGTATTAGTTCGGTTCGGTTCCAGTTTTTATTAAAAAAGATAGATTTTCTTTAAAAAAATTCGGTTTTTCAAGATTTTTTAAAGTTCGGTTCGGTTCCGGGAAATTCGATTCTCTAAAAATAATACCGTTCAAAAATTTTGAAAGGTTCGGATAAAAAAAAATACCGTTTTTTCGGTTCGGTTCGGTTCTTTTGTAACCGAACCAAAACGCCCATCCCTAGCTAGTATTAGTTCCTTCTTTAAACTAAACTTTGTTCTGTCGTAAAAACTCTGTATGCACGCACGAACGACATGTAGTTTCTCTTTAGTAAAGCAAAACGGTGCTTCGTTAGTCCTGCTTTGGTTTTGGTCTACACTAAAAACTAGGGCTGGACAAAATATTCGAAAAATCCGAATCGATCCGTTATTCGATTCGTATCCGAACCGAAAATTCGGATATCCGGAATTTACGGATCGGATACGGATATTTATTTAGAGATATTTGTCGGATACGGATATTAAAATTGAATTATCCGACATATCCGATCCGATCCGTATTTTGTAATAATATTATTAAATATAAGAATAATTTGATATGGAGATTTAAAATACTTAATATTTACACGTTTTTTAGGGTGATTCAAGAAAAATTATATATATATTGAGGTTTATAATTTTAATTTTTTGAATATTAAGATTTATTATGTTTAATGTTTTGAATTTTGAATTTTGAATATATTTGTACGTGATAAATTATAATTATATTTGTATTTGAGTTGATTTGAAATGTTTAAATTATGAATTTTAAATTTGTAAATATCATTTATCTTAAATAGATTATATATTTTATTTATATTTAAATTTTTTATTTAATTTAAATTTAAAATTTTATAATATTTTAGGTCGGATACGGATATCCGTAAATATTTATACGGATCAGATACGGATACGGATATCTCAAAAATCCCGTATATCCGATCCATGTCCACCCCTACTAAAAATCCACTGCATGCACGCCCGAACGACATGCAGATTCTCTTTAGTAAAGCGAAACGGCTTATCATTAGTCCTTCTTTCATTGTCGCAGCGAAGTGGCATGTAGTTTATCTATAGTTACGTAAAACGACAAAGGGTTTGGATTCAACAGAATAAACGTCTTGTCGTTTTTATTTTTTGTCAACAAACATCGTGTAGTGTTCTAAGCGCGCTTCTTTGCTGCAATTTGGCGCCCGCTCCAATGCCCCCCCAGTCACCAGTGTTCCGAAATTTGAAAAAAAAAACCATCGAATTTCTAATCGGAGAATCAAAGGAGTGAACACGAAGTTATATCGGAAGGTGAAATCACGGTCGCCGGAAAATGGTGTTTCTCTCACGCAAGAGGCCTCCAGCGCCTCCACCGTCATCCGCTGCTCCGCCTCCTAAATTTCTGTCGCAGCCGGAAAACGAACCCGACGCGGTGGAGAAGATGACGGCCATTCTGGCTGAAGCCGGATGCACACTGATAAACCCGTCAGGTCCGCCGTATCTTCCCTCCGATATCCTTGCTTTCCGTCGCCATCTCACTCATCGCTTCTCGTCTTGCTCCGTCGCCACCGTTGACAGAGATAACGCCGCCGCTCTACGCTCGGTCTTCATTGCCGGGTTCTCGTCTTATGTTCGATCTCCAATCAATCTCCGCAGGTCAGTGTTTCCACTCGAGTTGCGAAATTTGGATTTGAGAACAATTTTATGACTTTTTGTTTCTGAATTTGTAGAGTACTTTCGTCTTCTTCAGCGGGCAAGAGGAACGAGAGTTTAGTCCGTAATCTACTACTTGTATCTCCTATACAGCTTGATCTTCAAGAATTTATGCTCGAGAAGCTTCCAGAGTACTTTGACGTTATTCCAGAAAGTTCTCTGGAGGAGGATGTTGCTCGCCTTATCATCAGTCATTTCCGGTGGCTGGATTTCATAGTTGAGCCGGATGCATTCACTGATAAGCTGATGCAAGTTTTGTCGATTTGTCCTCTTCATTTGAAGAAGGAAATCATTGGCTCATTACCAGAGATTATTGGGGATGGCAACAGTCGTGTGGTGGTTGATTCTCTGGAAAGGATGCTTCAGGAGGATTCTGCTATTGTTGTTCCTGTGCTTGATTCTTTCTCGAACCTCAATTTGGATGATCAGTTGCAAGAACAGGTGGGTGGTTCTGTTTCATCAGAGATTTAGGTTCTGCACTGTGTTTGATACTGATGAACTTACATTTGTTTTACCCCTTCTTAAAGGCGATTACTGTGGCATTATCGTGTATAAGAACAATCGATGCAGAGCATGTGCCTTATCTGCTTAGGTTTTTGCTTCTTGCTGCGACTCCAACAAATGTCAGGAGAATAATCTCCCAGATACGGGAGCAGTTGAGGTTCACCACCAGATTGTCCAAACCTTGTGCTACTCAAAGCAAACTCAAAGGAAAATTACCAGTAGATAACTGTGAGGGTTCTATTCTCCACGCGTTAAGATCAAGTCTTCGGTTTAAAAATGTAAGCTATATTCTATTTCATGTGTTTAATAACGTTGTCACTATCTGGCATCAGCTTCAGTGTTTGCTGCTTTTAGATACTCTGTCAGGAAATCATAAAGGAGCTGAACGGTCTTGAGAAACCCCGGGATTTCAAGGTAATTGACATATGGCTACTTATTCTCATGTATATGAATGGGGAACCCATCCAGAGAAGCATCGAGAAGATATTTAAGAAGAAAATTGTCGAAGGCTGTATACAAGAAGCCATGCTTGATCAGTGTATTTGGGGCAATAAGGAGTTCGTACAGGTGACCTACATAATTACTTTAGATGAATGACTAGTTTCTGCATGGAAACACTTTTCTGAAGTCAATTTCATCATTTAATTGTGTTGTTCTAGGATTATTTTGCGCCATTTCTTTCTTTGGCTGAACACCTCTTGTCCTGCAAAGAAGAAAAGGCGAGGAAAATTGGCACTCATATCTATACTCGTCTTTTTGAAGAATTTGTTGACAATTATTCAAGACAAGAAGTAAGCACTCACTGCATTTCATCTCCTAGTATGATAACTTTAACATGAGAAGTCCAGTAGTTGTTAAATTTTGAATTACTTGCAGGTCCTAGGTTCCTTAGTTACACATGTAGGATCTGATAACAAATTTGAGATCAGTTCTGGCTTGGAAGTGATGACTATTCTGGCTAAAAAATATGCTCAGCAAATGCTTCCCTTTTCTTCCCACATAAATGGTATATTTGATATTTGTTTTATATGTTTATCTAGGCATTGATTGTTTTTGTTTCTTATTCCCGTCTTGTGATTGTGCCATACGTGTGTCATACAGGTGTTTTGGATTACTTGGAGGGATTTACTGTTGAAAATTTGCATAAGGTAGGCATTTTGTTTTTATAATCTGATATGCATGATAAATTTGGTATATAAAGTATCAGAACTGCAGGTCTATGAGGTTTTCAGTTGTCTGGCGTTATCAGCTCGGACAAATGCTGATTCCTTTAGATCTTCAATATCGAATGAACTTATGATGATAGTAAGGAAGCAGGTATGGTTAATAATCTTACATTCTGTTTGGTTTTGTAGGAGACATTAGGCGATGACAGTTCACTTCCAATTGTTTGGGTTTCATTTCGCAGGTTAGTCATGCGGATCTCAAGTACAAAAAGATGGGATTAGTTGGAACTCTGAGGATTGTTTCGTCTCTTGGGGATGTAAATGGTGTTCCTGACTCATCCTCTCAGGTAATATCCACTATTTCTTAGTAGAGGTTGCAGTTATTTCTCTTGATGAACTGTACTATTGTAGTCTGCCTCTCAAATTATATGCAGTTAACAATCAGTAAATTGTTGGCCTTTAACAGGTTTCGGATTGTAGAGAGGTTTTGGAGCTTTTAAAGAATGCCCTAGATTCTTGCAAACAGTGTAGCTTAGCCCGCATTCTTTTCTATGATGAATTGGCTGGAATTCTTGGCCACAAAATACTTCAGCCGGAGATTATGGAATGGTGAATTGATTTCAAATACGATTTATTTATCCATTTTTTTGGGGTAGTCCTTTCTGGCTACAATAGTCTTTCCAAATCTTGACGTAGGGGAAACAAAAATATGTTCTTGTAGGATTGGGAAGCATCTGGGAGAGTTTGAATCGTTATTTCTCTCTGATCTTGACAACGGAAAGCTTCGTGGTAATGAATCTTATTCTGGACTAGAAGGTATGATGAAGATACAAACCAACCATGGTTCTACTGCAGTATTCAAACCTCTTCTGAGTGTTACTTTGATTCAAGCTCTGTTTTGTTTCTTGCAATGGTTTAGGGGATGTTTGGATGAACTTGGACGGTGACATATCACCAATCTGTTTGAACATTTTGGCCTTGGCATCTTCCTCATCGACAGAGTAGTGTCTATGACATCCTCCCTCCGTTTTAATTACTTTTGATGATTATTCTATTAAATGGAATGCTGAACTAGAAATCACACTGCCTGCAGGTCCTGTTCCTCTCTGCAGATTCTGCCTTCAAATTTTCTTTTGCTATCAACTGTAAGATTTTCCCTCACTTGAAACTGAGAAGCAATATTAAAGATATTAAAGAATCGGAACTAATTATCAACATTTTATTTATATTCAGGTTGAGAGGTTGACAAATGGTGGATCTCTTGCGGGAATCGATGCCTTGCTCGGGTGCCCTTTGCACCTTCCTTCTTGGAAGGTGAGGCCAGTTTCTTCTTGCTTTCCCTTATTGTGTTTTTTTTTCCTGTTTGCTGATGTTGTGCTTGTCTTGGTCAATGTTAAGTATGTTTGTGCAGCTGTTTGGCAGTCTCTCACAGGGAAGCAGAGAGAAATCATATGTCTCTCTTTGTATTATGCTGCAAACTGGATACGAGAACTTGTCAGTAACATGACCTAGTATACCTTACTTTCATTATTGTTCATGTTATAAATCATTTTTCAATGGTGTTTTTGCCTTTTGCAGCTTAATGCTTTCTGTACACAGATCGTTGAAAGGTCTCAATGCATCAGTCAGGCCACAGAAAAGGATGTAATAACAAAGCTCCTGAAGCGACTCAAAAATCTGGTGTATGTTTACGTCTTTATAATTGTACTGTCGTTCTTGCTGAGATAATTTTAGATGTCATAAATGCCTTCATCAGTGATAAAGTTGCTGTTGAGAGATGATCTGGTGAAACAGGTTTTTGGAAAGCTTGTTAAGCAGTTTGATCAAACTTTCTCCTCAGTCTCTACCGGAACTCCACCTGTATCTAGAGCATTCTGGATCTTTGGCCATACCCCAGCCTAAACAGGCAGAGCATCTAGGCAAGAAGCCAGAGAAGAGGAAGCTACATGATGATGCCTCTCAAAGCACAGGGAAAAAGAAGAACGGGAAGGGACCAAAACACTCAGATACAAATGACAAGCTGCGACAACCAACAATATTGGATATGTGGAAGAAAGCAGGAGCAGTGACAAGTCAAACTGAGCCAGATGAGAGTTGTTGTGTTGAATCTTCCAATGGCAAGACATTAGGGTCAGTGGATGAGCATTGTTCTAATCCAAAGGAGTCTCTAGTTGTAGAGATTCCTCAAGTTTCTCAGGCGCTGGAAGCCCAAAGGTTAAAGTTCAGGCCCCTTCTGCCTCAATGCTTATCAATCTTAAAACTTCCAAAGGTCTGCCTAGTTAACCCTTTTTTCTTACACCACTTTTTATGGAATATTAGCATCTATTATTATTTATTCTTTCTATCGAAGTCACAGATGCATTATATATAAATCCTATAATTTCTTGCAATAAAATTTGCAGCAGAATTCTGGCAAGAGAATCCAAAATGGTTCTTTACCGTTGATTGATTTGGAAAGGAAGGTCCATCGAAACTAGTTTAGAGTGATTCATTTGTGTGGCTTTTACATGTAGGTGGTAAGCAAAGATATATGCAGTCCAGATCATAGAGTTGAGGTACAGTAGTTATCTCCAAATTCTCGTCAAAGTTATCATCAAGATGTGCTACTAACTGTTTTGTATTTTGCTATGCTAGCTTCCACTATATTTGTATATTTTACGTGATCTTCACTCCAAGCTGGATTGTGTTGTTCCTCCTTGTAAGCAACTACCTTCAAGATGGGCAAACACTCCATCTACCTTTTGGGGGTTCAGACTGGATGAACTGTTGAGTCAAGTGAAGGAACTTTTCCCGAGTCTTAGACTAGTTCTGGATAGAGCAGTTTCCTTACTGGTAAATGGTAAGATAATCACAGATGATCATTTACTGAGAACTAAATATATTAGTTTAGCCTGTTTTTTGACCTCACCTGAATGTGGTAGGTGATGAAATTTCTCAACAAATTTGGAAAAAGGAATTTACCGCAGCCATGAATCCGAACATATCCAATGTTGTGGTTTCAGACTCTCTAGTCCACACAATGGTATCCAAAGAAGTATTGTACTGTTTTAACAAGGTGACCATCTCTTCTCCAATTCTGTGATGCAAGTGTTTACCACACAAGCTTACCATGAATAGTTGCATATTGATTGCATTTCTTTCACCTATTAACCTGACCTAGATACAAGAACTCTAATTCCTGAGCCTCTTCATTCTTTCTTGCTGGTACACAGATGTTACTCCTTCCTGTATTCCAAACAGACAAATCACTTCAGTTGAATCTTCTTGAAGCCTTCCAGTCCACTGATATGCCGACTACTAGCTTCCCAGACATTCAACCTCTCCCTTCCCCTGGGACAACAGAATACCTGTATCTTGGTGTTTATTCTTTCTTCGAAGAGATTTTAAATACTGGTAAGCAACAGTTCCCGGTTTTCATTGCGTTTCTCGATCATGAGATATATTATCCTAATTCTCGTCACAATGTTGCTGCAGCATGTCCCTTTTCCTTTGAACTGGCCTTGGAATGTCTTATTACCCTACAGTTATTCGTAACATATGCACAAAGAAATCTTGTTAAGGTGTCAGATGAAGCTACTAAAAAGAGAAATCTGGGTCATATTCCGAGCCTTGTCTCCAGCTTGCATGCCAGATTAGGAACTTCTGCTGAGAAGCTTCTCAAACATAAATGGGTCGATGAAAGCTCTGAGAATAAGGGTTTGAAAAACAGAGTATGTCCTTTCTTTGTCAAATTTCAGAGAATGCAAAACTTTGGCTTGGTGTCTCAATGTGAAAATTATTTTATTTTTGCAGGGCGAAATGATACAGAATATATTGCGAATATACCTGGAAGCTAGCGAATCTACATCTGATTTGCTGAACGAGCTTGCTTGTACCGTTTTGCCTCAGGTACATGGACATGTCTTTCTTAAAAGCCTCTTCGCCGAGCTGTTGTTGCAATATGACAGCTTTAAACTTAAACCTCCTTATAGGTTATGCTATTTGGGAACTACACCATCAAATATGATCTGTTAAAGTAGCACCATATTATCACTTGCTCTGGAACGGAAAGCCTATCTCATACAATAGAGAAGGAAAAAAAATGAAAGCCTATAGCATAATTCAGATAATTTTCAACAGTCTCTAAGACTTTGTTTGTATTAGGTTTCTTTATCCAAGTCAGGAGGAGGAGATGCTCATCCTGAGTTCCCAACCCTATGCCCGGTGACATTCTTAGGCTGGTATAGGGTATTGGTAAGGCAGCTCTGAAGATGTTTTCTCTAATAACCCTTCTGGAGATTAATCACCTCAAGGGTTTTTTTTTGTTTGTTTTTGCAGCATGAAGAAAACCTTGTACTTCTCAACAAATTGGTCAGTTATTCATCTCTTCAAGTTCATTTGTAAATTTTTTTAAAAAAAAATCCTCTGCGAGAGATTTGACGTTCTGATCTCTCTGTGTACAACCATGCTTATCCGGATTAGGTAAAGACAATTTGCTCAGAGAAACGACGTGCCTGTGAACCTGAAGCTGCTGAAACACACTTGAAAAACATTCACAAGTCTGTGAACGTGGTGGTGTCATTAGTTAACTTGTGCCGATCCCATGAAAAGGTAACCAAATCAGGCGGATTCTCGAATCGAGATTTCCTTATTCCATCATATAGCACTTATCCGTAATGAGTACGGATGTATCACTCGAACATATGATTTTTCAGGTAGCTGTTCACAGCATGGCTGTCAAGTACGGCGGGAAGTTTGTGGACTCGTTTCTAAAAGGTACATCAAATTGTATCTCATCATATGGAGTTAAAATAGTTGTGATTTGCTTATATCGGTATTCGATATTGGAACACCGTGCAGTTTTTTATTTATTGGAAGCCCTTTTTCAAGTTCATAGCGAACTGGTTATCCAGTTGGTAAGTTCAAATGGACACCCTTTCCATCCTACGGTAACTATCCCAACAAAATAGCATATATCACCAAATTTCCGAAACTCTTACGATGACATATCAGGTGAAGGATCTTCAGAAGGCCACAAGAACATTACAGACTCTATGTTCTGAAGCCAAGGTTAGTAGTCTTAACAAATCCGGTTTCAAAAGTTAAGATTAATTTAATCTTCTGCGACGAAACAAATTGATTTTAGGTTCTGTTTATATAGGGCCTGAAACGAACAGCCATAACCAGCAAAATACCAGCAACAAAGAGATCACTAGAACGCTTTCTGTTTCACGTCAAGGCCCTTATCCATACAACTTCACTTGGCTCCGCCTTCTGGATGGGTACCTAAACCAAACAAACACGATTCTTCCATTACTCGAAACAAAAACCTTCGATTAATAATGTCAAAAAAACCCTTTTCTTACATGTGGTTGCAGGAAATTTGAAACACAAGGACTTGACAGGGCAAGTTGTGAGTTCTCAGGCATATGTTGACAACCAACCAAATGAATCCATGCCCGAAGCAGATCCTGCGGAGGATTGATCAACAATCTCTCTACCGGCTGTGAATTCATTCTTGTAGTAGGTACGTACGTATTTAGTTAACCTAAAATTACAGAAATAGTCACTCAAAAGTGCTAATCCTAACATTAACCTTGATTATTTTGAAAATTTTAATCGTTTTTTTAAAAAAAAAAAATTGGTGATATTATTTGGTTTGGTGGATGGAGAGTCGTGGTTAGGCATGTGATTCGGCGGATTAGAGGGAGAGAGAGAGAGAGAGAGAGAGAGAGAGAGAGAGAGAGAGAGAGAGAGAGCAACTTTTCCTTTGGGTGGTTATTAAAAGCAGAGAGAGATTCACGCGCACGTTGTTAATGCTAACTTTTTTTCCTTTGGCTGATCAAGGAAAAGGAAGAGCAAGTGGAGAGGAGAGCTGCCGAACAAAATTGATGGAAATGGAATCTTGTTCCATTCCCTCTCCAATAATTTATTACAGCTTCCGCGTAAAAATAACTACCAAATTCTATATATATATATTAAACAAAACAAAAAATAAGCCACATGGTAACACGTGGTTGTGAATATGTTCAAGGAGAAGGAGCACAAGGGAAATGATTAGGATGCGAAAGTACAAAGGGGCACGCACACATGATCTAATGCGGTGGATATTATATGATTAAAATGAGTGGCGATGAAACAAGTGAGGGCGAGAGACTCAAGGGCAGATTCATGTCCCATCCCAATTACTAAAACAAGAGTAAACACTGAGGGGAAACTGGCAAATCCTTCACTTTCCTTGTTCGTACAAAATTCCTCTCATGTCATGTGAACAGTTTCCAACTCGTGCTTCACCTGCCTTTCGCTTAAAAACCCTCTTACTCTTTCATTTAAACTTTTTTAAATTCCATGTTTGTTTTTTGCATTATCACCACTTGCCAAATACGTGTATTTTGTAATTTGTAAATGCACTTGAAAATTACAAAGACAATTAGGCATGTTTTCAATTGGAAAAAAAAAATAATAGTAGTTATTTCGAGCTTCGGTTCGGTTATATTTGAATTCGATTATTTCGATTTTTAGAAAAAAATATAAGTATTTAATCTTTAAATTGAAATTGATTAGGTTTGAATTGATTCTATTTTGGTTTAAAAATATAAGCTTCGGTTCGGTTATATTTGAATTCGATTATTTCGATTATTTTGATTTTATTTTCGTTTTTTATTACTAAGATACTCCATTTTCAAACAAATTTTCAGTTTTTTTTTTATAAAAACAATCGTTTTTTATAAAAAAAAATCACTTTTTTATTAATTTTTTATTTGATTTGTTGTTGTTTTTTTTAAATACAACCAATCAATTTTTATATAACATTCGATTCAGTTTGGTTTGTATTAATTTAACTTAACTATTCAAAGTGAAAAATCAAATTTAAAGGGTTACTGCTGAAGAATCTACTCTTCCCTTAATTTTTATTCTCTATATATATAATTTAAAAGGGTCCATCCCTCGAAAAAGTCTTTTCCTTTCCATTTATAGAATTAGAACGTATCTTAATTTTTTAAAAACCAGACCCCTCAAACACCACATGTGGCCAATCTTTTCAAAGATCCAAACTTACAGGCCCGAAAATTCAAATCTATATTTACTTACACACACATACATATACACACGTTTTTAAAACCAAATGGATTGTATACTGAATTCCTAATCTTTTTTTTTTGGGGTATAATACTGAATTCCTAATCTTATGCACATATATTCAAATTTTCATTCATTTTAATAAATATTAACGATCCAAACGTCTAAAATATACACAATCAGTCCGCATATTGAAGTTATATAAACTCGAACACAAATAAAAAAAAACATTGAATATCTACCCCTTTTTAGGTTCCCACGTTGAAAACGTGAAACACGTGTCGAAAATCCAAGATATTTCACTTTTCTTTCCTAAAATATCTTCATCTATTTCCCCACGTGCTCTTTCTTTTACTTGCATGTATTTCAAATAGATTTCTATCCTCCCTTCCAATATATAACGACCGACCCATCAAATATCAAACCCTTGTTTTTTTTCCCAACATCTCATAGAGAATGAGGAATTGCAGCTTCGATCTCCGGCTATCTCCGGTGGATCCCCCGGCGCCATCTTGCCGCCGACAATCAATGTGAGTTCTGTTTTATTTATTTCTAAATCCTACCCCATTATTTTCAGTCCTGCTCAATTTCACCCCCAATGTTTTGCCCAAAAGAAAGTAGTTATTTTATTTTATTTTTTTTTTGCCGATTTGTTGGAATTGGGTTTCTGATATACAAGCCTGTAATATGAATCGAAATTTTATAAGACAAAAAAATTAAATGGGTTTGTTATAGGGCTACTAATGCGTCGTTCACCGTAAGTTCCAAGGAGATTATCGTTCTCTATAATGGGAGATTATGCGTATACGACGTCGAGGAGCTCCAGGTAATGTAATTATCACCATTCATGTTATAATATATTATTTGATTGTCTGATTTATTTATTGATTTTTTTTTTTTGCATGATGTGTGTGTTAAAGATAAGGGCCATAATTGAGATGGGGAATGCCGTTAGTGGGGATAGGATCTCCGTTAGGGTTCAGGGTGAAGAGATCGCTGCAGAGGTTTTTGGAGAAGAGGAAGATGAGAAGCCAGGCCCTCTCTCCTTACTGCTCCTCTTCCACATCATCTCCCAATTTCTAACCCTAATGTGCCATCTTTCCAATCCACGAGAACACGACCAAACCCCAAAAAAAAAGTTTTTTTTTTGCTCCCTGACATGAAGGGGGATCTAACAAGTATTTCTTTACTCTCTCCCTTCCAGTGGTTTTTATCGAAGAAATGTCGTAAATCGTAATGTATCTCGAACCGAACCGAACCGTTAAAACGGTATTTTTCCCGACCCGAAACCGTTGTTATTTCCCGAACGGTACCATTTTTAGAGAACCGAATTTTCCCGGAACCGAACCGAACCGAACTTTAAAAATCCCGAAAAACCGAATATTTTTAAAGAAAATCTAACATTTTTTTAATAAAACCCGAAACCGAACCGAACCGATACCGAAACCGAACCGAATACAATAAAAAACCCGATTGGTAGCTATTTTTGTAAAACGAAAGAACCGAACCGATCTATTCCGTCCCGAACCTGAACCGTTTCCCGAAACACCCATCCCTAATTAGATGATACTGACAAGAAAGTGAAAATAGTATCTGAAAATAAGACAAAAGAAACATTACAAATGACTCGGAGACAAACTTTCTCTTAACAGAGCAATGACACATATGATTGAAGAGAGATCAACATCATCAACGGCTGAATCACACATGACATTGGATCCAAAAGATACATGAGTTCTGGAGTTATAAATTCTTTCAAAGACGGTTCCTTTTTTTACACGTTCCAATCGTTATTGCATGCCCATACCAGATGAAACAGAGTACAAAAGTAAAATCTTTTCCCCCACACCAGTCCACAACCAAACCTGTCAGCTACCGGAGACAGTGGCAGAAGATCAGCAACCGTCTTGTCTTGTTTGTCCCTAGCTCCCCCGCCGCCATTCTTTTTTCCCATGGCCATGTCAATGACTTTAATTTCTCTCTCCCCGAGCATAGTTGCCACGGTACACAGAGAGAGAGAGAGATAGATTCAGACCAGGAGATTCCGCCAAAAGGGTACATCATCAGCATCTGCAAACACATTCTGTACAAAACAACTAATCCTTCCTTCCATTCCCAAACTCCTAAACCCTAAATTTGTTCCCAAAAGTGTCCTAATTTTCTCAAGGAGTTCTCGACACAGAGCACCAAAATACCGCTCCCCAGAAGCCCACTGCTTCCAGTAACCAACTCCCAGTTTCAATTTTTTTCCCCACCATAAATACAGCTGTGCGTTGGTCCATCATTCCCCAGAAAAAGAAAGGAAACCAAGTAAAAGAGAGAAAGAAAGCAGAAATCTAAATGCATTACAACCTGAATTCACCCTCTGAAAGATACCCAACACCAGATACTGTACTTAAAGTTTGACCCTCCATGTCCACTGCCCATATCCACCTCCTCAGAATGTTTTACCCATAAAAATCGAGAGCCCGGTATAAATGCAAACAGTTTGTTTGCTCTAGTTTAAACCCTCACGGTTTCAGAGTTGATCTGGCCGCCCCTTGCATGGGATGAGGACTCGCCAACGGGTGATGGTTTACGGCCAAAGTTCAGTAAATAGTTTCTCTGGACTTCACTGGTATGACGGAGACTTGCCCGTAAAAGCTCTGCAGGCATCTCCCTCTTTATGGCTAACTCCATAATATCTGCACTCCCCTGGTTCTGACTGCGGATTGTCTCGTATTTACTCCTGCAGTACTTGGTGAGAAGTGTGAAAAATTCATCAAACGAGGCCCTCCACAGTCCGTCGTTATGATTAGTGTGATTCACATGAGGAACGAGTACTTCAGCAGCCCTCTCAAGAAGAGATATCAAGACGAGAGAAGCACCATCCCCAGCAGGGCTTCCGATGGGACGGAGAGGCGGCTGCTCTGAGGAACAAACTACTGCTGCAAGGCAAGCACTCAGTGCCCTGAGATCCATGGCTTGAACGCACACCGTTACCGCCTTGGCAAGTTTTGAAATTGTCTCTGCTACTGCTGTGTCTGAGGGAAGGCCACCGAACAGAAATCTCAAGTGGCGGAAAACAGCCATACAAACAATCCGGGCAACCTCACTACCAGGGACAAGAAGCTGCAAATACTTTGTAAGCATTTTCCGACCCTTGGGAAGAGTCGCAATCCGTAGAAAAATGATATCATCCTTTGCGGTCAACACAGCTCTCTGACCAGTTTTGCTGAATGGATCAATAAGTTGAAGTGATGTTGCTAAGCCTTCCAGCAGAATATGCCTCTTTCTCCTGAGTTGAGCACCTCCGTCCTGGGGCCGATTAAATTGCAAAATCCTATCGATGTCATCTATGTCAATGAGAACTCCAAGAGCGTCTTCAATAGTAACCCTAGCAGCAACCAGAGGTTCCTGATCCAAATGCTTTTCAGAGTCCTTATGATCTGAGCTTCCCTCACTAGACCCACGAGGAGAGTCGACCTCAACTAGGGCCAACGGCCTACGAACGGAAGGAAGGGTAATCTTCCCAAGAGCATCGATGTGAACTTGTGGGTGCTGCTCAGTACTATTACGGGACCGAGATTGGTGCTCCTTCAGGTGAGAAGGATAGAAGTGAGGTTTTTCCCTTGATCCAACAGACTTCTTAGCAAGCCGAGCTTGGTGGTAATAATCATTGACATAAGGATCATTGCTGTGTGAATTGGAATGCTGCATTTTGAGAATACTCTCTATTTCTTCCGAAGTCATGTACTTTGAGCTAAACTGCAATCCACCCTCACTTTTCTGACTAGATATATCCGACGCCTGTTGGGAGATGCCTCTGTTCTTTCGGCTTCTGTGAGATGACCTATGTTTATGCTCCCGACCTTCACCAGCCCCAAATGGCGCTTTACGTGACGGAGAAGGATATGAATTATACAGCTGGGATTGAAAGGCGGCAAGATGGGCTAGGGATTGTCTCTGCGGAAGGGAAATCAAATGTGGTGACAGAAGACCGTTGCGTGGGGGCAAGTGGGGTTGCTGTTGTTGCACCAGACTATGTAATAGTCCAGAATGATCCCTGTGTAGGAGGCCAGAGTCACTGAACCAATGATGTTGCACCATGTTACTAAGTGTGGGTCCACCAGATGCAAATCTTGCCAGATTACCACCATAGTGGGGGACATTTGACAATCCCGTTACATGAAGATTAGAACTTGACAGTGGAGAAACATTTGGTGCAGATAAGGCCAACTGGGCTGTCCCAGGAAGAGAAGGAGCACGATGCAGATGGCTGGATGAAGCCTGCTGAGATCGGCTACCAGGAGGTGGAAAAGATGTGAAAGTTGATTCTGGTACAATAATGGGTTCGCTGTTATAGTGATGCAGCTGCGGTTGCTGCTTAGGATAAGAGGATGTCCTGCACAAAGGTTTCGAACGCTCGGATGATTGAGGGGCTACCAGGAGGTGGAAAAGATGTGAAAGTTGATTCTGGTACAATAATGGGTTCGCTGTTATAGTGATGCAGCTGCGGTTGCTGCTTAGGATAAGAGGATGTCCTGCACAAAGGTTTCGAACGCTCGGATGATTGAGGCTGTGAGGACCATCTCTTAGCTTCCTGAGCTTGTACGTCTAGCATATGCTGATCCAACCAGCTTGAAAGCTCTGCATCTTGCGTCCAATCTGTAGCAGATGAACCTGGATATAGTTGACTGTTAGAAACGGCTAGTCACAAAAGTCATCTTTCTTAAAACAGAAAAATGAGCATTACAAACAGGTAAAGTTACCAATCATAGATAGGTAAAGGGACAGAAAACACAAAAGAGTAGGAAATCATTAAAGAAATTGATCTGAGGAATTTAACTCACTTTCCCTTGAGAAGGATCCTGATCCTCTATCACCAATAACTCCAGGATGTTTGGGTCCAGTAACAACCCTGTTCAACTGCAAAAAATAAAACAAACAACAAAAACAGAACCTGCATATCATCACACAAAGCCAAAAAAAAATAAAATTTGAAGGGCATGCCCTTCAGCTCTTAAGGGCGCTTAGTCGAAATATTTGTTAAAATAGTTTGCTTGTCTACATAAAAGGGAGATCAACTGCTGTATGAAAGCCATGGTACAGTAATCAACCATGATAAGATCATCATACTCATCTGCATGTCTTAAAACAGACAAGCTAATAATCTACATGAACGTAAATGATGAACAAACTGACCTTTGCGAAAGTGGTCGCGAGATCGTCCATGTCAGACAAAGACCCTAACCCAGTACCCTGGAACCAACCAGCATAAATGCATTAGATGCAACAAATAGATGAATAGATAAAGAAGTTATCAAATGCAGACCAGGACACAATTTCAATGAGAAGCGAAAAGACAAAGGACAAAACTTGCAATTCATTATCTTTTAATGTATTAGAAAACTCCTCCGGAAACTGAGGTCAGATCAACCGGAGATCATACATGACTAATGCTTTGAATCTAAATGTTTCTTAACGAGAAAACAGATAAACGTTATTTCTGTTCCAGTTACAGATGTCGATTTCATTCATATATATTATCATAATGTCATTGTAAGTTGTAACAGAGAAGCACAATACCTCTCCTTTATCAAACAAGTGATACGCATCCTCATCAGCATATCCCAGAACAGCAGCCTTCGCCTCTTCGTCCTCGAGCCCCCCCAGTTCCACTTCCTCCACAACATTTTGACCAAAAAACTCATATTGGGATGCATCAAATAGTGCAGCATCTGCAGAAGATAGTAAGATCTTTTTCAGCAAACACTGCCACAAACATGGTTGGATTTATGCTTCACATAACAAGAACTATGAATAAGCGAACCAGTAAATCCTCTAATAAGCTACTGCAGTACTAGAAACATGAAATTCCATAATTAAAAAAATGTGAAATTTTAGCAAAAGGAGCAATTTTACAATCTCCGTGGCCCGAAAGAAACCAAAACCCCGGAAAATCCATGAACCAAAATCAAACAACATAAACTCACAGGGGTAATCTACCGTCCTTCACTTTCTCATCTATGAGGAACCAAACCAATCAAAAGATTCACAAACCGGATCCAATATCAGCTTCGCAGCTGAAGCACACAAGACCTAATACTAGATCGATTTCAAACACGCAAAGTGATCAAAGCGGGAGGAGCTGAACCTGAGGAAGCCCGAGAAAAGTCGTAGGAACCCCTGGAATCGGATCTCTCCATGGTCAACTGGAAATCACGACGCCAACAAGTCGAAGCTCTAGAAATCGAGGAAATGAAAGAAACAACGAAAACCCATGGCCGCAGTCGAACCCTCGTCTCTAGGGTTTTCGTTTCTTCGGAGAGGCGCCGTCAATGAGATGACAGATGAACAAAAGACAAAAAGGGTGAGTAAATCGGCTAAAAATTTCCTAGGGTTTGCAATTTTCCGAGAAAACGCGAGAAAAAAAACATTGCAGGAAAGCCGAATAAAATCACTCTCCGAGAGAGAAGAAGAAGAAGAAGAAGAAGAAGAAGAAGAAGAAAGGTAAGTTTTTTTTTTCTGTTCTCTTTCCTTCGCCGTGCATTTCATTGACGCGTTTAAAAAAAAAATCCTCCCCCATATTCCTTTTCTTTATTCTTCTTTACGATTTATTCGATTTCCTTTCTTTTTTTTTATTCTTCTTACATAACATTTTACCATCAATTTCTAGCTTTGTTGTTATTATTATATGATGTTCCGACAACCTTTTACTGAAATTAAGTCATGTACAATGTTCTAATCACCAATTTATGTTACACAATTAGCAAGTTAACCCTCATTATTCCAAGAGAGGAAATTCTCAAAAATCCAATTTTTTTTTAGAAAATCTAAATTTTTTAATAAAAACCAAAACTGAACCCTATCGAGTAATTTACTGTACTAATTTGGTATAAATCTTAGAATATCAAATAAACCGTTTCCGAACCAAACAACTAAAATTTCAAACCGAATCGCGAAAGATCCACTCATCTTACATAAGATTCGTAGTGACTTTTGTCCATTACTTGTTAGAAACCTCAACCTAATCCACTTAAAATCGGGCAAAATCAAATGCGTACACCATATAAGAACAGGTAATTGCGCAAGTTAAGTGATATGGCCCATGTGACTATTCATACGGTCGGTCGAATTTAATCCCATTTTTTTTGTGATTTATGAATCACTGCACTATAACTATAAAGAGTTACATCACAATAGAAAGAGGTAAAAGAGAGAGAGAAAAACAGAGCTTCAAGGACTATACTGAGCATTGGCAATACACAAAGCATATGGATATGGACCCAATGAAGGAACCGTATAAACTATGATCCAACTGATATCTGAACTTTCTCAAAGTTTGGGACTTTATTGGGTTTCAGGATATTTAGGACTAGAAGAGCCAGTGTTTCCTTCTCTGTTTTCTTGTGGGGACATCTGTGAGGGAGGAACAACAACACACCAGAAAACAATGGAGAGATGATCAGAGACTCAGAGGTGCATTGTGCGAGGGAATGACTTTGAGATTTGGGGGGATGAACTCGATCTTACCTCCGCTTGCGTATAGCGAATTGTAATGCACTTCGCTCCAGAAGCTAAGCCAGACCTCTGGAGGAAAGGACGTGAAATCGGGTCAGCGAAGAAAGTGAAAGATATCGCAGAACAAGAAGTAAATAACGGGTCCTCCTCAAATGCTGCTTATTCAGTACCACATTTGAGCAATGGTCTCAACAACAAGAATGTAAACCATCTTTGTTTCTTAAGAAGCCACAAAAGAGTATGATAGTGAACCAAACAGAGAGAGAGAGAGAGAGAAGGTGTACCTCTGATGGGATTCTTGTTATGGGGAAGAATCTCGATGTAGCATTGATCACGGAAGGATGTGACTAAGCAGATCTTGGCTTCGAACTGCAGTAACGCTGGGTCAGCAGCCAATGGTTTAAGAAGAAGAAACGAAACATAAGCAACAAAGCCTTTCGATTCCTCAAATATGCAGGTATTCCTTTAGAAAGCAAATGGGCTTTGAAAAATAATGCCCAAAATTCTCTGATCTCAAGGTTTGTTCTTGTTTAAACTAATCGCAGATCATTATTAAGTCGTTGAAGGAAAAGTAAAAGACAGAAGACGATATATATCTTTATATAACCTACACGATCTGCAGCAGCTTGAAGAGTGACATGGTCTCCCCATTCGCCTTGTCTGGTTGCATCCAAACATTAGAAAGAATGGAACCAATGAGTATAATCACTTCACTCTTTTTTACAACAAAAACATAAAAAAGGGTCACCACAGATGATGTCTCACTTCTTCATCTTCCTTCTGTAGCTTCTGTATTTCATTGGCACGTACGCCTCGTATAACTTGCGGTGGAGTTTTAACTGAAAAACACATGATAAGTCAGAATTGCCACATGATCGAGTAGAAAACAGTTCACGGAAATTTTGAATGCAATAACCTAATTGGCCGAGTACTTTCGGTATGTAACATAAGCAATAACCTGACATGGTTCGGAAGAATGCATACATAAACAAAACAAATAGGCATATACTATGAAAATTCAGACTCTGCCCAGTGCCCATAAGTCATTCAAATGGGCAGGTTTTGACAAGAACTCCCGGAGAGAGATAACAGCGAGGCACAGAAATTATATAGTGGAGGCAAAAAAGCTAGCCAGGTCAATTTTGTAGAGGGAAGGTCTCTGGAGTATGGAAGAAGAAAGGATAAAAGCCAAAGGTACAAAAACAATGATCTAAGGAGTCCAAATTTGTTCCGAGGAGAGCTATTGGTTTACGATATAAGAAACAAGGTGGTGGTGTCTAGTGTTCTTTCGACTGTACCTGCTTTATAACTTGCTTCCGTACATGTTTATGGTAATCTGGATTACGGAAAAGCTGGTCTGCTAAAGCTCGGAACTGTTGAACAAATAGATTGGACATCATTTATATATACAAATCCAAAGACGCCATTTGCTTTGAGATGCATATGGGTTTTCCTATGAACATACCTGGCAGTTGCCATCACCTTCAATCTGTAGTTCAGCTAAACCATATGTGGCCAACCTGAAGTAAAAGGGAACTATAAAAAATCGCATGGTGAAGAAATGCATAAACATTAATTTAGAGCAGAAGCAACTTAATTTCAACCACTTTTCCCATCCATGGTCTTTGATGCATGAAAGTGCTTAAATTAAAGATGAAAAACCTCTCAGAGAGCCGCTCGTGGTCTAGTGTTGCATCATTTACATCGGGTATTTCCCTGTTAACCCGAGGAGTGTGCTGCCAAGAACAAGAAATCCATGCAAGAGAAACATATGTTACGGGGATGGAAATTATAAAGAAAAGGATTCTAAGGATTTCAATGAGAAACCCGAATATCAACGGTATCTTAACTACCACTTCCATGCACATATAGAGAAGATTAGGTAAAGGAGGCGTATCATACCGGAATAGAATCCAAATGAGATAATCTCTTCCCGAGCTTGCGATCAGTTCTCGAGTTCTCCTCTTCTGCTAATATGCGTGCAATGGTATGATCATCTTCTGTATCAGGCAAACTGCTACTGAAACTTGAGCTCGAACTCACACTTGCACTTCCACTGGCACTAGCACTAGCACTTGCAAACGCATTCCTACTGTTGTCATCCATCGTGTTTGTAGAGACAACCTAGGAAACAACCACAAAGAAAATGTTTTTTTTTTCAATCAGTTTGAATGCCACCGTACAACGAAAGCATTAGCCTTTAACAATCATAACAAGCAACTATCTAAACCATTCAATGATCATAACGCCACAAACTAATGGCAATCTCAGCCTTTAACCCGCCTAAAGATGTTAACTTTCCATTCAAACACACAAACGAACAGAAACCCAGATGAAATGTTGCAGTCAATCTATCTATTTGGATCATAAGAAACGGAAAAAATCTCAATTCATGGACAAGCTTGAGCTCAACAATACCAGAAACTCGTGCCCAGAACCTAAAACCTCTGACTTTGAATCCAATCAGAACCAAATTCGGCCGGAAATGCAAAAGGAATCAACTAAAGATCACACGAATACCGAATCGGAAACACAAGCAGACAGATAAACTCAACCGTTTTCTTGACTTCGCAATCTCAATTTCCCAATTTGGTCAGCCAAAGCAAAGGGGAACAACAAACTTGGAAGAAAAGCATAAAATACGTAATGGAAAACTCCAAGGAAGAAGGTAAATGGATTAGGTCACCGACGTGATTACCGGGAACGATGAAAATCCTCCCAGAGAGGTTCCCCTTCTTCTTTCCCACGAAATTCCCTTTTTTTCCTTTTTTTTTTTTGGGTCCCCGTTTCCCTTGTGTAGTCTAAATGATCGTCGGCCAGGTTGCTGAGTCGCTGACCGAGTCGTGTCCCGTGTCCAAGAAAAAAAAATAAATTATCCATCTTTGAAATCCTTTATTTTATTTGAATAAATCTCTAATTATAGTGACGGCTCACGACAGATACGGTCTGCTGACATCACCGTAATCTCGCCACGTGGCTATGTCTCGTAAATATGAATTACGTATACGTCACCGGTAGGTTAACTTTTCATGATATGGATTATGGAACACTTTGAAACGCGTTTCCTAAAATCTAATATCATTATTATTTTTTAAAAAAACTAATATCATTATTATTATAAATTTATAATTGTTATTATTATTGTGCTGATGACTACGTAATAGTATTTAGTTGTATCAGTTTATTACATACTTTATGATTAGTTCATTAAAGAAAATGTAAGACAAGCATGAATTTTAACTTTATATACACTTTCATGTAAATTTAAACAATGAAATCGATGTGTTATTATATATACGAGATGATTAGGTGATACATATATTGAAATACGATCTTCATTATTCATATCCGTCTAATTCATCAAATGAAGGATGAATTTTGGTTTGTGTATACCATTTTAATGACATTTATCAGTAAAAATCATTGCCCTAACCATAATTTACTAATTATATCTCGAAAATCTAATCAAAATATTCCACAAATACATCCCCAAAACTAAAATCACTTTCACTCGCCATGCCCATGACCTTCTCTCTCAGCTTCTTCAACCTCTCGCCCATCTCATCATCTTCCATAACTCTCGTCACTCCTTCTTCAACTTCCTTTTCTCCAAACCCTAAAACCCTATCCCCAACCCTCCAGACATCAACGATGTAACCACAGTTCACGAACTGGTCTCCGGCCACTGGATAACACAACATCTTCCGTGAACATTCCACTGCTTCCATAGTTGAGTTCCATCCACAGTGTGTCAGATAACAACCTACGATGTCGTTCTTAAGGATCTCCCTTTGAGGCGCCCAGTTCACGATCTTCCCCTGGTTCTTAACCCTAGTCGTTACCCTTTTCATGAACCCTTTTGGTAGACTCTCTTGCCATGCAGGTTTCAATGCCCAGAGAAATGGCTTCCCTGACGATTCTAGGGCTAGAGCCAAGCTCTTTATCTTGGACTCTCCAATGGGAGAGACCCAGCTTCCGAATGAGACATAGATTACTGAGTTTGGTTTTTGTTGTTTGAGCCAGTCGAGACATGTTCTGTCTTCTTCCCAAAAGCTAGGGTTTTTTGTCAACGTGGTATCTGCATGGATCTTGTTCAAGGGGCCGACGTGAATGATACGTGGACCGTTCTCTTTGTCTTCTTCGTTCCGACGTTTGTAGGATGTGTTCTGGCCGATGAGATGATGATCGTACTCGCTCTTGAAGGAGTTCACCAAGATCCACCGGAGAGTTTTGGATCTTTCTAGGGTTCTTTCCCAGAATTCGAATCTTCCCTTTTGAGCTTCCGGAGTTCCGATCAGCCATGGAAGTTCTCCGGCGGTCAGAACTGGTTGCTCCGGCAAGAAAATCTGGCTTTCCGGTTGACGAGGACGACCTGCAAATAGGAGTACGTAAAAGACGGAAATTTTGTCACTAATCGTTAATTATTTAATCATTGGGAACCGCCCAATGTTTTGTTCAAAGAAGGGATGCAAATGCCATGCGTGTTCTATTTTTCATGCACGTTTGTTTGAATATATATATATATATATATATATATGTATATAATACGATAAATTCCACCATAAACAATTGCTGTTGCTTTTTCGTTAAATTATCTAGAGTATATGCGAAGGATTCGCGGAAGGATCGATAATTATCTAAGATGCATTAGCTGCGGCAATCGATGTTATCCTTGTAACATGTCATACAATACATTATTCTTGATTATACAATCATATATATATATATATATATATATAAATGAACTTGAATATACTATGTATACATAATGTAAAGCAGACCAAATATATCAAATGTCGATGATTTGAGCGTTATCGGCGCCTTATCTCATGTGATGGTCATTGACGATCCAATAACCGAACCTTTTATTGGTTAAATTAATCACTTCCACCACCATTGATTATTACATGCATTTTGGCACGTAATTATTTGACCCGCAGATTACAATGTTTTTTTTATACTAGTATGCAGATAAAATTAATTAAAAGCGGATTAAACATTATAAACACGATAAAAAGCACATAAATTAAAAGCTATAACGCTGAATTCAAAACCCGTAAATGCGAATTTTTAGGGCTCATATTTATGAAAACATCGTGTATTCCTTATAGTTTGCTCGTACCCTAATAATCAGTTTACTATTAAATAATATAATCGCGATGCATTCAAATGTATTTGCAGAGAAATAATAATATGATTCAAAACGTACAAAAAAAGTTACTAACATATTTTGTTTTGGTTAAAAAATTACTAACATATTACATATTCATTTTAAAAAAAAATCTATCTATAAATTATGAAGAAGGTAAATCAACGGTGAAATATCGTTTTAGGTTAAATGTTTTCATAATTTGTACGAAAATTCTTTTCTTCTTTTAATTATTGGTACGAAAAATGGCATTTTCATATTTAGAATTAGTTTAGCCTATGATAGAACGTTACCTGAACGGGAAATGACGCCCGTCCGTACAAGCTCGGGAATGGCATTGATCACACGGTACGAAGCCAACATCGCCGGCCAGAATCCGGCCGCCGGAACTCCGCACCGGCCGGCAACTCTTATGGCCCACGACGCCAACAGATCCACCACCACGCAACCCACTCTCGCGCCGGCACGAAGCAGTATCCCCTCTAGCTGAGACGGCATGACGTTTTCCATGGCGTTCTCGACGGAGAAGAAATCTCCCGGCGACGCGTCCGGACAATCTGGACCGTTGGATAAAGGGATGAAATCGATCTCACGGCCGAGATTAGCCGACGAGATCCGACGGTGGATGGGCTCCGGCGTGAGGACGACAGGGGAGAATCCACGGCTGAGAAAGGCCGAGGCGAGATGTAGCATTGGGGTGACGTGGCCTTGAGCCGGGTAAGGGATGAATATGACCTTAGGCTTTTCGATCATTTTCATTTTTTCTCTTGTTTTTGGGTCGTGGTTTTGTAATTGCTGGTTGGTGTGGAGGAGAGTTTATAAAGGGGAAGTCAAGATCGGTTGGAGATTATTATTTGATTTAACTATGCAACATAATGCATGTGTTAATTTTTGTTATATATATATATATATAATTATGTGTATTTTTATGATTAAGTAAAAAAGATACCACATAATTTATTTTAGTTGGTTAGCTTTTGGTGCTAGCGTGTCACAAAAAAATTTGAAATAAAACGTTATTATACGGTTGAAAATCCATTAATACATACATACATATATATATGTAAACATATTGTTGTATGTGAAGGCACAAATCGATGAATTTTAAATCTATGTTTTGAAGAGATTGAATTAATTACCACAATGGCACATACATTTAAATAGAAATGAAGTAATATTGCAACACTAACATAATGATTAAATTATATATATATATATATATATATATATATATTATGTGATACCATCAAATATTCATTTAAATTCTCACTT